TGATTTAGATTAGACAGATAGGTAGTTGGGGATAAATTAGGTTAGAGATTACATAGATAAATAGATTCAGACAGGCAGGCAGACAGTGGTTGTATAGGTTGCATAGAAGAATAAAATATGTTAGCTAATAGAAATGGCTGGTTAATAGGAAAATAAACTGAGAGAGAATAGGCAGTGAAATATGTCTGGATCAAAATAGACCACATACCTCAGTGTAAAATGCACAGTCATAAACTCCTAGAAGAAAACATAGTAGCAAGTCTAAGTGACCTTGGTTTGAGTGATGACTTTTTAGACACAACACCTAAGGCAAATCCATTCAAGAAAGAACTGATAAAAAAGACAAAGACAGTCTCTTCAACAAATGGTGTTGGGAAAATTGGACAGATACATTAAAAAAAAATGAAACTAGACCACCAACTTACACCGTACACAAAAATAAACTCAAAATGGATAAAGGACTTAAACATAAGATGGGAAACCATAAAAATATTAGAAGAATCCATAGGCAGCAAAATCTCAGATGTATGCTGAAGCAATTTCTTCACTAATATAGCTCCTAGGGCAGTGGAAACTAAAGAGAAAATAAAGAAATGGGACTCCATCAAAATAAAAAGCTTTTGCACAGCAAAAGAAACCATCAACAAAACAACAAAAAAGCCCACTGCATGGGAGAACATATTTGCCAATGTTATCACTGATAAAGGCTTAATCTCCAGCATTTACAGGGATCTCATACAATTTAACAGGAAGATAAACAACCCAATCAAAAAATGGGCAACGGACCTAAGTAGATACTTTTCGAAAGAAGACAGAAGGCCAAGAGGCATATGAAAACATGCTCCAAGTCACTATATTCCGAGAGATGCAAATCAAAATGACAATGCGGTATCATCTCACACCTGTCAGAGTGGCTAGCATCAACATATCAACAAACAAGTGCTGGAGAGGATGTGGAGAACAAGGAACATTTGTGCACTGTTGTTGTGAATGCAGACTGGTGCAGCCACTATGGAAGACAGTAGGAATATAATGAACAACATAAACTGATGAACAAAAACAGAGAAAGAGAAGCATCGAACAGACCATCAAACCTCTGTGGGAAGATAGAGGAGGGTGGGGATAAGTGGGAGAAATCAACAAAAGGACTTGTATGCATGCATATAAGCTTAACCAATGGACACAGACACCAGGGGGGATGAGGGCATGAGTCGGGGGTGGGGGACAATGGGGGATAAGGACACAAATGTAATACCTTAATCAGTAAAGAAAAAAATTTAAAAAATAACAGCTCTACCCTGAATAGTTAACAATATTGTAATCACTATGTATGGTGCAAGGTGGGTACTTGAATTATTGGAGGGAACACTTTTTAAACTCTACATCCCGGGAGCAGCGTAGCTAGGACAGTCTGTATGTCTATCTGCTGTGCTAGACACTTGAAACTAATATAAAATAATGTTAAATGCAAACTAATCAAAACAGAAAACTGATCTTTAAATTTATTTTTAAAATTACAGTTGACATACAATATAACACTAGTTTCAGTTGTACAATATAGCAATTAGATATTGATTTGCCTTATGAAGTGATCACACATAAGTCTAGTACCTACCAGATACCATACATAGTTACAGTATCACTGACTATATTCCCTATGCTGAATGAAAAAAATAAAATAAAATAAAAATAAAAAAAGACTTCAGTAAAGTTTGATATGTGAAAGACTATCTAGAGCAGAGTGGTTCTCAACCTTGGCTATACATTAGAATCACCTAGGAATCTTTTTAAAATCCTGATTTCTGGGCCTCATTCTCCAGAAATTCTGTTCCTTTGTTATTGGGTGGGGCCACAACATTAGTAACAAAGAAACAGAATTTTGGGAGGATGAGGTCCAGAAATCCGGATTTTAAAAAGATTCCAGATGATTCTAATGTGCAGCCAAGGTTAAGAACCACTGATCTAGAGAATAAAGACAAGCCACAGACTGGGAGAAAATATTTACAAAAATATTTCTGATAAAGGACTATATCCATAGAACTCTTAAAACTCAACAATAAGTAAACAAATAATCTGATTAAAAAACAAGCCAAAGACATTAACAGAAAATTCACCAAAGAAGATACACTGATGGGAAATAAGCATATGAAAAGATGTTCCACATTTCATGTCATCAGGGAAATGCAATTCAAAACAGCAATGAGATACCACTATACACCTATTAGAATGATCAATATCCAAAACACTGACACCACCAAATTCTAGGGAGGGTGTAGCGCAACAAGAACCCTCAGCCATTGCTAGTGGTAATACAAAATGGTATAACCACTGTAAAAGACAGTTTGGAGCTTTCTTTTGTATGGTGTGTATGTTTGTATGCATGTGTGTATATTTGTATATGTATGTATATATGTGTGTATATATTTGTATGTATTTTTTATATACAAAAAGCTGTACATATTTAACATACACAATTGATGACTCGATGAGTTTGGAAATAAATATATACCTGTGAAACATTCCCTCCAATCTATGCCATAAATATACTGTATCCTCCATTTAGGCTGCTTTTGATGTTTCCAAGTAAGATAATGGCCGATTGCACTTCTAGTTTGGAAGTGGTGGAGATGGAATGAAGTATAACAATTCAGATATTTTGGAGGTAGTCAAGTAGGACTTACTAAAAGATAAGCAGAGTGAAGAAAAAATAATAATTATGAATGGCCCACCAATTTTGGATTGAGTCACAAGTTTGATGTTAGTTTCATTTACTGAGCTAGTGAAAACTTGGGGGAAACCAGGCTTTGATGGAGGGGTATTGTCTCGTTGTGACAGATTAATTGTGAGATGGCTTGAGAGACAGTCGGATAGTTGTTTTAATTTCACATTTGGACATATGAATTTGGAGCTGAATTTGGAGCTGAGTGGATAAGTCAGTGCTGACTTTAGAACAGGATTTGACAGCATAGGAATGGTGTATAAAGAGAAAGGAATGGATGGAATAACTTAGAGAAATATATACAGAGAAAAGAAGAGGGGCTACAATCAAAAGACAATGCTATTGGAATTGGGTACATGGAAATTGTTGGTGACGAGTGCATTTCAGTAGAATGGTAAAGGCAGAAACTTAATTGTTTTTTCACTGAGTTACACTTTAATCTGAAATGACTTTTGAATATCATGTTGGAGAATAATCTTAAGGACTTTTTTTTTAGAGAGAGAGATAAAGGAGATTTCAAATGATTCCCTAAATCCTCAGGGAGGTGCTAACATTTCCATAGAAGGTTGAAAATCTGAATATAGAATTGTATTATAAGCAGATGGAGAATGAATAGTTTCCTGGAAAAGGTAAAGAACAGTGGGGCAGGATTTGACTCTGTTTTTACAGCTCTGGCTGCTGACTCTGTCAGTCAGCAAGGTAGGGCCTTGTGGAAAACCATGAGATACAATAATCATTAATTCTTGGTAGTTGATGCAGCGGGACAGGGACTGAGGCTTAACCCCTTCCCCGGCAGAAACGTGTATACACGTTTTCACAAAATGTTCTTTTTCAGTCGTCGACGAGTATACTAAGAAAATATGGTAAAAAAATATGGTTTATAGGAAGACGAGTTACAAACTGTTTTCATAACCAGCATCAAAAATACTATATAGAACCAAAATAAAAAAATTAGTCTGAAAAAGAAACGTTTTAAACAAAAAAATTGTTGGGGAAGGAGTTAAAGAGCAGGCAAAACCATTATACCTCACGAAAGCTAGCTTTGGAGAGTATGTGGGATAGGAATCCCTTTCTAAGGGGTTGCTTTTGTTGTTGCTTTTTATTTTTCTTCACATTAATAGGACTTATGGTCACAAGAGAGTTTAATATTGTTATGAAAATATAAAGTTAACATCTAAATAATATGTAGATATTTCCCCCATTAGACTCTATTCTGCTTAATTTGTTTTTCTATACATATTTAGCAATTTATCAGTAATTTATTTAATATACATCCTTTAAATCTATTCACATTGGTAATTTGTACAATAATGATGTCATTTCTTCTTTAAATGGAGATCATCTGGCCACCATTTTCTATTGAAAAAGAAAAACACCTCATGATAAGTAATTGTTGAAGTTATCATATAACATTGGCCAGTTTTCTCCCTCATGAAAAATAATTCTACTTTTCTTAACCTTCCCATGGGCACTTTAAAATCTTCATTTATTGGTGTTTTCATCAAATTTTTCTAATACTGAGAAAGCCTAACCTTGATAAAATTCTAGTTCAAAACTTAGCCAGCAGATTACAGAATTTATAAAAATGGTATCAATTTATACCTATAAATTAGATCTTTTATTTAATTTCAGTTTGCTTAAAATAAAATAAAATAAACTTACCAAATGTGTTTACTTTGCTTGGAAGTGGAACATTCAACATTCATGAACCTGGTTGTGGCTATTTATACTTCAGAGATGGTGATACAGTTTCATAAGAAAGAAATTTTTTTTTCTTTTTTATTTTGAAGAATGCTACCTTTAATTTATATTTATATTTATTTGAAAGTAGACACTCTGAAATTTGACTTTCTCTTATGTTCCCTATGATTCTTAATTGAAACCGTGGATATGACTTCAAACTGTTTGAATCTTTGGGTTCAATATCTTCATTCTTGAATGTATCAAAGCCTTCATCGATTTTTTTCTTTTGCATATTCATACAGTATCATTAACTTATACATCTTCACTTGTATGTTATTAGAATCTTTCTAGGTATCTTTCATTTAAGCCTTCATATCCCCAAATTCAGCATAAGCATAAGCATCCTTCAATGAATCATCTATTAAGTTTTTCTTAACATCTTTCTTACACTTTATGGAGATTTTCTGAGTCTTTGTATTATTCTTCACCCCATTTTAAAGGTATTTGATTAAATATTCAAACCGCTCCCTCTTCATAAATTCAGTTTCAGATTACTAAACTGTGTCAGTAAATATGCTTTTGAATGATTATCCAGGGCCTACTTGCCCTTCTTTCCCTCCTTTTTTGCATCAGCAGATTCTGTCTCAGTCTCTCCCTTGGCATCTTTCTCGCCTTCTTTGCCTTCTTTCTTGCTTTCTTTCTTGCTTTCTTTCTTTTTATCTTTCTTGCCTTCTTTCTTGCTTTCTTTCTTGTCTTTTGATTCATCCTCTTTGTCACTGGATCTCTTTGCATCTGTTGTTTCATCTCCAGGTTCTTCAGTTGGCTCCTTGTGCTTCTTTGAACCCCTATCTTTTTTGGAACTTCTCTTCAGCAATTCTTTTTCCTTTCCTGGTTCTTCAACTACTAACTCCTTGCCCTTCTTTGTACTTTTCTTTTCTTTTTTTGAATCTTTCTTCAGTTCTCCTTTTTCCTCTTCTGATTCTGCATCCAACACCTTGCCCTTCTTTGTACCTTTCTTTTCTTTTTTTGAACCTTTCTTCAGTTCTCCTTTTACCTCTTCTGACTCTGCATCTGACCCCTTGCCCTTCTTTGAGCCTTTCTTATCTTTTTTTGAATCTTTCTTTGTGTCTCCCTTTTCAGCTTCTGATTCTGTAGTTGAGTCCTTGATCTTTATTGACCTTGTCTCTTTTTTGATACCTGATGTTTTTGTTTCTAAAGGCTTGTCTTTTTTTGAATCTTTCCTAGTTATTTTGGGCTCATGTGAAACTGCGGATTCAGTTTCTGACTCTGATGCATCCTTCTTGTCTTTAGCTGCTGCTACAGTTGGGCCACGAGTTGGAGGCCGCCGCCTGGCAGCTAAATAGACAGATGGTCTTTCCGAAATTAGCATTAAAGAACGGTGCATCCATAATGGTCGTTGAGAACCTCCCTTTAATTTGTCTTCATCAGGTTTCTGCAGTATTGGTTAGAATAATGATAAATAGCTTATATTAGTTTCACAGCCTTTATAACCGGATACCAAATACATTTAACTTCAATCATGAAATAATTTTATATCTTATGAGTATCAGATAAATTGTAGATTTTATAGTTTATTCTGCGTTTATAATGTCATTCTTATTTGAATAGGTAGTCATGTCTCATTTTGGATCTAATTTCAATGTAGAGTATCTTTATAACTCCTGCAAGATTGTAAGTTAAAAGTGGTGCAGACCTTCACTCACTAATGACATACTAGATCCTCTCTTTACAAGCAGGAGAGGGCTTGTTTGTTCTTTGACTCTGTGTTTATGAGATATTTTAAATATCTTGCCTAGTCTTCATTTTGAGGTTAACTCAGAAACCAAATATTTTTTAATACCTAATAGTTTTGTTTTCAGGCAGATCATGATCTTTATTGTTACCTTCAAGGTCTCTAGAATTTACAGTGTTAACTGTGCTTAACAATAAAAGGCTGACATGCCTCCTACATGGCAAGATAAAAATTGAGTATCATCAGATAGGAAACTGCAACAATGAAAGCTGTACCATGCAGTGCACATTCATTTGTTCAGAATGGTGCATTTTGTTTTCAACTTGTAACCAAATATTTGCAAAAGCTTAATTGCAAAAAAAAAAAAAAATGGAAGGAATGCTAACAAACACTGGAAAAATAAATTGAATAAAGGAAGAAAAGAAAACAAACACAGAAGAAACCTGGATCACTGTAGCTTGGATACATTTCCTAAAATAAACAAGAATTGATGATATAATTACTTGTAAAAATTTTCTGTCAACATTTTTATATTCCGTGATGACTCTGGAAACCTTATGAAATATTTATGTTCCAAAATTCAGAATTCTGAATTCTATATTACAGGAAATGAGGAAACATTGAAACGTCATCATAGTATAATGATTCTGAGGGAATCTTTCCAGCGGGGTAGTATTTTCTGAATGTTCATACTAATTGTAGCAGGATATACAGATATCTGTCATTTTGGATACCTGTTTTCTGTAATGTAGGTTTACTGAACAAATGGTTAATATGGAATAACGGGGAACTTTTTTACAGTGAAATGCTAATAAATATATCCACTGTCTCCAAATAGAATTTGAATTACATTTAACTATATTGTGTAATGACATCTAAAAGACACATGTGAGTTTAATTGAATTGAAATGTAAAATTTAGTTCCTTAGTTAACCCTATCCTAGTGGTCGGCAAACTCATTAGTCAACAGAGCCAAATATCAACAGTACAATGATTGAAATTTCTTTTGAGAGCCAAATTTTTTAAACTTAAACTATGTAGGTAGGTACATTGTTATTAACTTAATTAGGGTACTCCTAAGGCTTAGGAAGAGCCACACTCAAGGGGCCAAAGAGCCGCATGTGGCTTGTGAACCACAGTTTGCCGACCACGGCCCTAGCCTATTTGAAGTATTAAATAGCCACAAAGGAAGGTAAATTATAAAATATTCCATCATCACATAAATCTCATTAGCCAGTGATGATCTGTAAGACATATTACTCTACATGCTTTCACAAGGTTATTACTAGTGATACTTTTTAAAATACTCACTAAAGCTGCCTTGTCTTGTAGTTGGGAAGGTCTTGATCTCACTTTTTTTCCTGGCCGCTGTGGTTTGGGAAATGCCAGGGAAAAGTGTTGCTGATTCCATGATTTTTTGCTTAATTCACTGACTAAAATAAGAAAGCATTAAAGATACACTTTAGAATAAATAGCATTTCATTAAAACTAATATGACATTAAGATATTACATTTCATGTAAATGAAGAAACAAATAATTAAAATAATGTCTTCATTTATGTGATAGCGTTTGAAATCCTCTACTATTAATATGAGAAAATAAAATTTATTTTTCTATTTTTCCCACTTTTACAGAAAACTATATAAAGTAACGATTGTGAAACTACAGTAAGATAAATGGAAAGAAACCATTTTACTACTTTCTTTTAGTCTTCTAGTACAGTCTAGATTTTGACTTTATATTCTTTTAGTTAGAGCACAATTCTACTGAGAACAGAAAATATGGTAACTACTTCTGTATCCTTCAAAGTAATTAGTGCAGTACCTGTTATAAAATGTTCAGGAAATACATGATTGTATCTAAATGCTAATGCTTTAGATCAGAGATTTTCAACTGGTGTGCCAAAGCAGGCACAATAGTGTGCTGCAAGAATTTTTAAAACATGCAATACCTGACTATCTAGTCAGGGGCACTGACCTCTTTTTCCTTAGATTGCCAAATAAAAATATGACAACAGTCAACATAACAGTCGTCATTTGGTGTGAATGAATAAAAATTAAATCTCTTTTTGGTCAGATCAGCAAACAATATATTAAATAAGCAATGAGATGAAAATGGTTGAAAATCACTGCTTTAGATCTCCTAAGTAATCGTTTTCCAAGCTACAAAAGTAAATTTTATTATACCCCAAAACTGCATTGTTATAGGGGGCATATTAATGAAGAAATTGACAAATAAAGACTACCTGCAGTATTGTGACTGGGAGGATAAAGTCACCTGCAAACTATAATAGAAATATTAAAGGTTACCAATGAGGTAAGTGAGAGAGATAGCCTCACTGTATTTGAATATGTGCAGCAATATTATGTGTAAGTGAAAATAGACTTGTCCTGTGAATCTCCTAAAGGCAGAAGCAGGATCAGTGAGAAAATATGTAGAATGAAAGGCATAATTAAGATCAGTATATGAGGAAAAAGCACTTGATGTAAGAAGTCTTTCAACACAAGGTTGACTGGCTTTGTCAATTAATGAATTTTTTTATCAATTTTAACCCTAATTAAAATCTATCAAAAATGTAGTAGAAGACATTTCTGACATGAGTGAAAACTTGTTTATTCAGATTTCTACACTGCCTTTTAATTGTGAGATTATCTGATTAAATGATTTCTAATATGTAAATCTATCCACCTTCATATTGCTATACATATTTGCTTAATCTACTTTGGATTTAGGACAAAATATCTTTAGAAGGTATTCATGGAGCCCTTGAAAAAGGTGCTTGGGGATAAAAAGTTAATTTTTAATAATATTCCATGACAGCTATTGCTTTATCACTTTGAATGGAGGATAATTCCTTATGCCTAAATTAATCAGACATGTTTTTAAAAATATATATATTGAAATTTTTCTTACCTGGGATGTAATTATCATATGACCCATAGTTTAGTTTTTGGCTATTAAAATAAGAGGGAAAGATTTCAGTTAATTTATAGAAAAGTCACTCTATTTTATGGTCATTATTATGCTTAAGCATTTGCCTCCACCAACTAGAGAAATACTTTGCATTCTCAGATCTCTATTATTAGGTCCCAGAAAAACAGAGATGAGAATATTTGTTTTTTTGGACAAACTTCAACAGAGCTAAAACAACAGGAATAAAGCATAAGGAAAAAAAAACCTATCAACTTTTCATATATAAAATACAGACATTTTTAAAATTGTGAAACCATCATTGAATTCATTTTCTCACCTCATGCTCCAAAATTCCTTGCAATTGAATTTTAACTTAGACAGCACTTTGAAAACACTATGCTTAAGTAAAATCAGCTCCTCATAATACCTTCAGAACTGAACTAAATCAAGATCATTCAATGTCTATGTGTCTGAATGTGTGTGTGTGCATGTGTGTGAGTCAGTGTGCACCACAGTATTGACCTGGATTTTGATTTTTCTTCTGTTCTCTAAAAAACTCTGAGAAAATTATGTTGCAAAGTATTTTACATTTATAAGTTTCCATTTATTATGGTACTATATGAGCATATGTCTAAAAAAAGGATATTTGTAGTCTAATTTTAATATATTTGTAATGGAGGCAAATATTTTTATTTATCAGATAAACATTATTCTGCATCTTCCCATCATACTATAGAAATAGAGTCATTGTTGATTATGAGTGGGTATGGTCTTACACACACACACATGCACACGCATGCTTACTTTGTTTTTAAGTTTCTTGATAATAACTGCATTAAGCTCTAGCTCCCAGCATAAAACCTGTCACATTTCAAAACTCATTCTTTAAAAATGTTGAATAAAATAATTGAATACAATTTAGAATGTGTTGACTAACTATCTGGTCTGGTGGGAGGGTTGTTTGTTTGCTTTTTTAGTTTTGTTTCTTTTTTATCTGAGGACATGCATTAAAACTACTTGCCCCTCTATAGCTGAATCTCTAGGTTTGGATCTAACCAATGTATACTTATACAATGCTGAAGAAATTTTGAAGTCCAAACATGGTTAGGGACTTCTCTTTCTGAAAGAAGAAATATTTCAGGTTTATGAGATAATATTATTAAATTGGATATTTTAAAATATACATAGGCATTGTCCATTAATTCCCTGTATAATATATAGGACATATTCTTTGATCACCAAGAACTTGAATTAAAAATCAATAACCAAAAATATCTAGAAAATATACAGAAATTGGATACAGTAAAGAAGGCTGAATAGAAGAAAATTTGATTCATCTGAAATATGGTATTGGAGGAGAGCTTTTACAGATCCCTTGGACTGCCAAAAAGACAATCAAGTGAGTCCTAGAGCAAATGAAACTTAAAACCATTTTCAACCATTGCAATCATTCTAACAAACAAGAATTCATTTGATTATCTCAAGACATGTAGAATAATTTTTGAAATAAAAAGTAACATTTCCATTCATAATCAAAAACTCTAAGAAAACTAGGAATAGCAGGCATCTTCCTTAAATGGATAAAATGTGTTCAGATAATACTATTAAAATAAAATTGAATGGTGGAATATTGACTGTTTTTCCTCTATAGATCAGAAATAAGGCAAGGATGCTTACTGCTATTCAACATTGTAATCCAGACCCTATTTTGTTTTATAAGGTAATAAAAGCATCAGAGTTGGAGATGAAGAAGTAAAATTATTTTTATTTACAAAAGACATGATTGAGTAAATAGATGATACAATCACATCTACAAATATTATTTTTAGAGCTCTTACGGCAATGTAATCTATATTAATAATAGAGGAATATGCATATTGGTAGGGACACCCTCATGCAATGACTGAACAGCAGGCTGTGTGGGACGACCAGGCCTGCAGGGGCAGGCAGTGAGGGGTGACCAAAAGACCAAACAGCAGGCTGCATGGAGTGACAGGCGGGCGGGTGGGCAGTGAGGGCTGACCAGGCTGGCAGCGGGGGAATTTAGGGGTGATTAGGCCAGCAGGCAGAGGCAGTTAGGGGTGATCAGGCCAGCAGGCCAGCAGAGGTGGTTAGGAGCCAGCAGTCTGGGATTGTGAGAGGGATGTCCGACTGCAGTCAGACATCCCCTGAGGGGTCCTGGATTGGAGAGAGTGCAGGCTGGGATGAGGGAACGCCCCCTGCCTTGGATTCAAAATTATTATGAATCCAATAATTTTGTGCATCAGGCCTCCAGTAAAATTATATGATACTAGGGGCCCGATGCATGAAATTCGTACAAGAGTAGGCCTTCTTTCCCCAGCTGCCAGCACTGGCTTCCTTCTGGCACCAGGGACCCAGGGTTCCCTCGCAGCCCCAGCTTCGTACAGTCTAATTAGCATATTACACTTTTCTTATTATAAACAAGGAATAATTATATAAACTGCATCTCTATAACTAGAGAAATGGCAAGATATAAATATAAGAAAACAATACAATTTGCAATAACTTAAAGATATTTAGAGAAGTTTATTGAAATATATGTAAGACCTGTATAGGAAAACTAATTTTTTTTTTCCTCAGGGACAAATATATTCTGATTAGAAGATCCCCTTTATACTCACTAGAGCAGATAAAATAAAAGATTAATTATACCAACTGTAAGCAACTCTGTAAGCATCTGACATATTCAGCATTGGTGGTAGGTATAAAAATGGTACAACTTTTCAATACCATTTGATATTTTTAAACTTCAACTTACACATGTTCTATGCATGATTTAGTATTTCCATTAGTAATTTACCCATGAGTTCTACAAAAAGAATTGGACAAAATATGGGTAGCAGCTTTATTCATAATGACCTAAAACTAGAGTAACCCTAATATTCATCAATTGGAGAATGCATAAACTGTAATAAGTTCATGTAATGAAATACTTCCTAGCAATCTAAGGGAATGGATTACTGATATATGCAAACTGATATATCTTAAAATATACAGGGCAACTCCCACTCCCAGCTCTCAACACCAATAAAGAATTATCCTGCCTAAAATGACAATAGCTCCAAGGTTTACAAACCTTCTATATCAAGGTGAGTTCCTAGGTCAAGATAGTAAGGCAAGTCATTATTAGTGCAGTTCAATTGAGGAAAACATAAAATGTATAGTGAATATGAGACCTGGAAGCTAAATTGGAAATTTAAAAAGTTTTTCTCCACATCTGATCCCAAATATTTATGAAAACCTTTCCCATGTCCTTCATAAGTCTTAGACCTACAATTTAATATTAGGAATGGAAGGATTGAGTTGACTGACATACCTGAGTTAGAAGCAAAGGCCATAAGGGGTGAAGGCATTGAGTGGGGTTGTTAGATTTGGACAAATAAAGATATTAAAGTGGAATAGAGGGAGGGGAGAGCTGAGCTCAAAGAAGAGAATTTTCTTTATCAACTGCAGCTACAGGTCAATAACACATGTTAAGTCTAAACTTAAGGTCCTGTCATTGTTAGAATTCAGAGGAAAGAAAAAGTCAAAAACTATTTTCTGCATTTCATCCTTTCTGTTAAATGAATTGGAAGTTACTAATTGAACCCAATGAAATATGAATTTTAAGGGTTTTGTGTGCACTTCATTTGCTAACAATCAGGCCATTTGATTATGAGTTTAACCACTTTTCTTCTACAATAGTGCAAAAGTTTTGAGATGCACCAGAAAAATAAAATAAAAAAATCACCATAAAACCAAAAATAATGTTTAGCCATGCGGTGAAGTTCTTTTAAAGCCATACAATGAACATGATAATAGGAATGTCATCAATATATTATTATGCTTAAACACTTTAAACTAATTACAATAGTTCTGTCATGTTATATACCCTAACATAGATTACTGTGTAATAGTCAACAATTCTAAAGTGATTATGACAAATACACTCAAACCTTTTACTGAAGTGTGTTCTTTATGTTGTAATGAAGTAGGCACCAGTGCCAAGGGGAAACCTGTTTTGTTTATTAGTATTTATTTTTTTAAGATTTGTGTTTTATCTTTCCATTAATAGTACTGTCCAAAGAAAACTTTTCTTTATATTTTAGAGTTCATGCCATTGCCTTTGTTTAATGTCTTCATAGTAAAAAATAAAAAAAGACATAATTGAAAGGTTTTCTTCCCCTATCTCATTTATTTATTTATTTATTATTTTTTTAAAAATTTAATCATCTTTATTTATTTTTTGTTTGTTTGTTTTTGTTAATCCTCACCCGGGGATATTTTTCCATTGATTTTTTAGAGAAATAGAATAGAGAAGGAGAGACAGAGAGAAACATCGATGTGAGAGAAACACATCAATTGGTTGCCTCCTGCAGGAGCCCCACGCCAGGAAGAAGCCTACAACCAAAGTATATGCCCTTGACTGGAATCGAACCCAAGACCCTTTTTTCTGCAGGCTGATGCTCTATCCACTGAGCCAAACCGGCTAGGGCGCCCCTATCTCATTTTATCACAAAATAAATTAGGCATCAGGAAATAACTATAATCAAACTTCCCATTCTGGATTATCTTCTTTTATTGCAAACTACTTTAGTATTCTCAGTATTTCTCAGTGGAGATGCAATTTGCATTTAGATGGTATTCTTTGGGCTGCCCCACTTATTAGCAAAGGTTTGGTACCATGACCCAGGCCAGTGGTCAGCAAACTCATTAGTCAACAGAGCCAAATATCAACAGTACTTCTTCAAAATAGACTCGCCCAGGCCGAAAACTGACTTCTGCACATGGGCCACGAAGTTTCAAACACACTGTATGTGCGTGCCCGCACGTGGTATTTTGTGGAAGAGCCACACTCAAGGGGCCAAAGAGCTGCATGTGGCTCGTGAGCCGCAGTTTGTCAACCACTGACCCAGGCTTTCTACAGGTCAGCGGCACTTTTCAGTCACTGTGATATATTTTAATCCCCATAAATTTCCAAATGACCCCTAAGGATTCTTATGTTCCAAAAAAAAATGACAAAAAATGAAGTAAGAGTCACATTGAAAAAGATTTATCTAAAGCCATGTCTCTACTTTACTGAAGTGAATGAACTAGTTAAGTCTTAGATCAAAGCAAACTATAATGTTGCTTGAGAATGTGTCTTGTTTATCAATGGCATGATAATAATGTAACAAACATCTCTTTCCACTAAAAGAGAATAAATGTAAAGCTAACTAGAGCATTTTAATTATTTTCAAACATAAAATTTGAAAAGAGGACTTACAATCTTGGTACAGACATTATCCCCACCTATCATTTGCCAGGACCTAAGCACTGTAAGTTCAAATTAGTGATGTTGAGAGGTGACATCATAAAGAGGCCAAGAGTACTAGCAGTTAAAGGGGAAAAACAAAAGCATCCACTTTTACTTATGTTTTAATAGTCTCTAATATTCAGTCTAAGATTGGTATTTACTCTCACTCGTTATTACTGACTAAATAACTACTGATAGTTTAAAAATAACCCATTGATTTAACATCTTAAAAAAATACTTGGTTCAATTTTTCATGTAGTTTTAACTAACTGATATAACAAAAGAATGAATCTCAGTATTTATCTGTTAAAATCAGTTGCAATCTTATCTTCCCTGAAATCCATGTGACTCTTGTTAAATCCTTTGCATAACTTTATATGGCTTTTTCCCATCTTAAGGTAATGGGTTGCTCAAGATACAAGATTTTTTAAAGGGCTGGATGCCTATTAAAATTACCTACTTACAGATCTGAGTTAGGTAATTTTACTCCACCCACCATTCCACCCCACCAATAGATGGAAATAATTACTATACAGAGTAGTATTTGACACATTGCCATTATCTAAACTCTCTTTGGGGGCATTTCAAGTGATTTTTTTTTTCGTAAGGAATACACTAAGTCAAAATATCCAAAGTTACAGGAAATGTTGGAGTTAAATTGCATTTTTAATAAACATTGACCTTTTAAAATATTAGTGTTAGAACTTCAGAAAGTGTTTCAATTCACAAGATATCATATGGTCATTAATTTCACTAATCAGCATGAAAAAGATATGGCTGAGTCAAAAAGTGAGGTAGAGATTTCAATAGAAACACCATCAATTTCTCATAGTTTCTGGATGTTACTAAATTTCTAAAGAATGTGTTTGGGCTCTCTGCAGATTGATTCTTTGAATTGCCAGTTGTTGAATCTTTACACTATTGGTTACTATTAATCCAGGTTAGTAAACATCTCTCTTTTATTTTAATTTTTTAAAAAATAAGATGAAGATGACATTTTATCAAATATATTTAAAATATCTACAACTGTATTAGTCTGCTCAGGCTGCCATAATAAAATATCACAGACTGATGGCTTAAACAAGAGGCTGATTTTCTCATAGTTCATGATAAAAGTGCCAAAAGTTTTTTAATTCTATTGAGAGCCATTTCCCCAACTTGTAGATAATTGCCTTCTACCCATGCTTTCATATGGCCCTTTTCCACTTGGTTTATAAGAATACAAGGAACATTAAGGGAATTAACACTATAATTTTTTAATTTTGTTAATTGTTTGGCATAAAAAGATATTAAATTCAAGTCTGTTTCTTTAAACATAGAAATCTGTCGATAGAATTACAAAGGCATCCTTATTCCGAGATTTAACAACTCTGTCCTCTCTTTTGGTTTAAACTCAAGATCTCTCTATTTATATTTAGATAATAGATAGCCAGATGACTGATAGATAGATAGATAGATAGGTATACAGGGTGTCTACCAAAAATTTATACACATTTCGAATAATTATAAAGGCAGGGTTTATTAAAATATATTTCATTTTCAAAATGTAACAGAATCAACTGTTAGAATGTGTATACATTTTGGGGGACACTGGTATATATAAGCCAATTATATGAGTATACTTTTAAATTTTAAATTAACTCAGAGAATAGACTGATGGTTGCCAGAGGGGAGGGTAGTTAGGGACTGGGTAAATAGCGAAGGGATTAAGAATTACAAATTGGTAGTTTACAGAATAGTCACGGAGATGTAAAGTGCAGCATATGGAATATAGTCAACAATATTGTGATAACTGTATGGTGCCAGATGGGGACTGGAAATATCAGGGGAAACACTTTGTAAAGTATATGATTATCTAACCATTTTGCTATACATCTGAAACTAATACAAAATAATATTGAATATAAACTGTAATTGAAAGATAAAATTCAAAAAATAAATTAACTCACCATCCTCTTCCCTCTGGCCATCATCATACCATTGTCTATGTCCATGGACTATGCATATATGTTCTTTGGCTAATCCCTTCACCTCCTTTCATCCAGTCCCCTTCACTCCTCCCCTCTGATATCTGTCAGATTGTTCCACGTATCCATGCCTCTACTTTTATTTTGTTCATCAGGGTTATTTTTTCATGAGAATCCACATATAAGTAAGCCCCTATGGTATATGCCTTCCTCTGACTAGCTTATTTTACTTAGCATAATACTCTCCAGATCCATCCATGATGTGCAAAAGGTAAGATTTCCTTCTTTTTTTCTTACAGCCACATAGTATACCATTGTGTAGTAAATGTTCCACAGTTTATACTATACACACACATTCATCTTCTGATGGGCACTAGGGCCGTTTCCAGATGTTGGCTACTGTAAATAACACTGCTATGAACATAGGGGAGCATATATTCTTTCAAATTGGTGCTTCAGTTTCTTGGAATATATTCCCAGAAGAGGGGCTGCTGGGTCAAATGATAATTCCATGGGAGGGGTGGGTGCGGGGTGGAAGGGGTCAATGGGAAAAAAACAGAGGGGACATTGGTAATACTTTTAACAGAAAATACAAAGCTTTTAAAAATGGCAATTCCATATTTATATTTTGAGGAAACTCTCACACTATTTTCCACAATAACTATACCAGTCTGCATTTGCACCAATAGTGCACTAAGGATCCTTTTCTCAACATCCTGGCCAGCACTTCTTGTTTATTGATTTATTAATGGTAGCCATTCTGGCAGGTGTGATGTGCTATTATATAGTGGTTTTAATTTGCATTTTTCTGATTATTAGTGACAATGAGCATTTTTTCATACGTCTCTTGGCCATCTGTATGTCCTCTTGAAACAGGGCCTACTCAGATCTGTTGCCCATTCTTTTAATTGGATTGTTTGTCTTCCAAGTATTCAGCTGTGTAAATTCTTTATATATTTTGGAGATTAACCCTTTATCAGATGCATCATTGGTGAATATTTTCTCCCATACAGTGAGTTCCCTTTTCATTTTGTTGATTTATTTTTGCTGTGCAGAATCTTTTTTTTAGTTTGTTATAGTCCCATTTGTTTATTTTTATTTATTTTCCTTGGCCTAGGAAACATATTGGCAAAAATGTAGTTAGGAGAGAGATCTGAGACTTTACTGCCCATATTCTTCTAGGATTTGTATGGTTTTGTGGCTTACATTTAAAAATTTTATCCATTTTGAGCTTATTCTTATGTATGGTGGTCTAGTTTCTTTTCTTTTCTTTCCTTTTCTTTTCTTCTCTTTACTTTCTTTTCTTTTGCATGCACCTGTCCAATTTTTCCAACATTATTTATTGAAGAGACTGTCTTTACCCCATTATAGGTTCTTGCTTCCTTTGTCAAATATTAATTGATCATATAGGCATGGATTGTTTGCTGGGCTCTCTGTCTGTTCCATTGATTTATATGTCTTTTCTAATGTCAGTACCAGGGTATTTTGATTACAATGACCTTGTATATAGTATAGGTTTAGAGTAGGTGCTGTGATACATTCAACTTTGTTCTTTCTCAAGATTGCTGAGGCTATTCGTGCTCTTTTTGGGTTCCATATAAATTTTGGGGATAATTTTCTAGATCTTTGAAATATACCATTGGTATTTTAATAGGAATTGCATTGCATCTATAGATTGTTTTGGGTAGATGGATATTTTCATGATGTTAATTCTTCTAATCCGTGAACACACTATATGCTTCTTTAATTTTTTTCTTCAGTGTCCTATATTACATATTTTTAAAACCATCACTATTCAAGATATCAAAATTCTTTATATAGCCTTTAACTCAATTTTTTATTGTTGGTAAATTTTACTAATTAAATTATAGAATTTATTCGAATAAATTTATATCCCTTAATATTTCAATTAGAAGTTTTTAAATTCAGAATAAATTTGGAAAAAGTATTCATCAACAGAATTGAGACTTTCAATTCATAACAAGATATATAATCCTAAATGTTTATCAGTGTAATGTGGAAAATTTTTATAATTTTTATGGTTTATTGTTTTGTTTTGCTTTGTTTTTGTTACCAGGCCATTCTCCAAGGAGGCCTTGGATTGGTGAGCATCCATGACCCTTGGAGCAGAGACATTGCCACATTGTGTGTGTGTGTGTTTATTTACTTATTTTTTATAAACAGACAATCTTTTTAAAGATATTATAGCTCACAACCTCATAAGAAATAGTGTCTCCCTTTCAGGCAGAAGCCAGGTTTGTCTGCTTTTCAGGAAAATAGAAAAGGTTCATAGGTAGGGAAGATTTGCTAGAGATCTTCTTTAAAAGATTGGGGTTTCCTCACTTTTGGCTTCCTCACATGTGACTCAAACCAGCTTTGTGTGAAGCATCTATCTGGCCACTTTCCATCATACTTATAGGACTTGTGAGGTAAGACCAGCTGATGCAAACATGGAACTCATGCTGCATGTTGATTCATGATAAGATGTCCTTTGTCTATTGACTAGAGGTGGTAAACACACTATACAATATACAGATGATCTATTATACTATTTTATACCTGAAACTTATATAATTTTATTAACCAACATCCCCCAAATAAATTCAGTAAATTTTTTTAATCCTTACCTGAGGATATGTTTTCCATTGATTTTTAGAGAGAGTAGAAGGGTAGGGGACAGAGAAACCTTGATGTGAGAGAGACATATTGATCAGTTGCCTCCTGCACGTGCCCTGACCCGGGCCACGGATGAATACTGCAACCAAGGTATATGTCCTTGATGGGAGTCAAACCCTTCAGTGTGTGGGCCAGTGCTCTATACACTGAGCCAAACCGGTTAGGGCCAATAATTTTTTTTTAAAATTCTTTGTCGCTAACCCAGGGGTATTCCATCTTCTGCCAGATTCCATGGATCTATGGCAAGCTCATTAAAGTCTCCAAACCTTCCCAGTTCTTAATCAGAATTTCTAGGTTAATATCACTTTCACAGAATGATTTTGTACCTATCTACTAACAAGTAT